GAGCTAATCTGAAGCTGGGCGCCTGAGCTGCTTCCCTGTCTCCCATGTAGATGCAAGGTCCCTGGGACTTGGGCCAGGCCATAGCATGAGGCAGGATCGGAAGTGGAGTAGTCAGGACTAGAACCTGGGCCCACGTAGGGTACCAGCAACAGCAGACAGGAGATTAGCAGGCTTCGCCACTGCACTGGCCCCATGATTTATGTTTCTATCATTTGCCGGATTTTATAACTGTAACTGTTTGCGTGGGAGTAAGAGAGTAGTATGCCTGAGTCAAACTGCTTTTCATTGTTGAAGAAGAAAACACATGATCTTAGTATATCACTAATATCTTCTACGTTCTTATCATTGTCTCTGTTACTTAGAATCTTCATTCTTAAAGATGTTCCCTTAAGAGCCTACACTGAGAGCCTCCTCTAGACCAAAAGACTTCCAAGGCCTGTAGCTCAAACTTTCAAAATTGTTGTTATGTATTTATTTCTATTTTACCTGCGAGGCAGAGGGATTCTTTTTCACTTCCTGGTTCACTTCTGATGGCTGCAGCAGCTGGAGCTGCACCCCTGGGCCAAGGCGTCTGAGTACTTGAGCTCTGGTGCCCCCTGGGTGTGCACTGGCAAAACAGGAATTGGCAGTGGGTCAGATTCCAACCAGCACTCTGATACAGGCTGTGGGCATCCCAACCATAGAACAGGTTTTTTTTTTTTTTTTAAATATGTTTTATTATGTTTTGGAAAGGCAGATTTACAGAGAGAAGGAGAGACAGAGAGGAAGATCCTCTGTCCATTGGTTCACTCCCCAAGTGTCTGCAATGGCCAGAGCTGAGCTGATCTGAAGCCAGGAGCCTCTTCCAGATCTGCCACATGTATGCTGGCTTCCAAGGCTCTGGGTCTTCTCCCACTGCTTTCCCAGTCCACAGGCAGGGAGCTGGATGGGAAGTGGAGCAGTCAGGACATGAACCAGCCGTTACTGCGTCAGGATGTATGTGTCACCTCAGAGTCCTCTAGCACGTGCTCCCAGAGCTCACTTCGTCCTTATCTCCCCGATGCGTCAGCACTCTCTTCTACTTCAGAATGTAGTATAAGTCGAGCATGTTAAAGCAGCTTTTGGCTCTGTGTCTTAGTCTTTCAGCCAGTGTGAGAGCCAGCTGTGGGCAGGTGAAGCATATGGCACCGTGAGTCCTGTCTGAGGGACTTCAGTTCCTAGGAACGATGCCAGCTAGTTTGGTGGAGGTGTTATTAGAGACCGTGGAGGACTTCTGAGTCAGGAATCGGGAACCCTGTTTGTGCAGGACCAGAGAGTGTGTATTTGCGGTTTTGTGGGCCTGTGCCCAGCATAGCTACTGATCTCCGCTGTCATCGTTGAAGGCAACTTCACTTGGGGAGGGAAGGAGTGTGGGTGTCACAATTTGAATTTCAAGTTGCTTTCACCTGCCACAAAATCTTTACAAAATTGAATCTAACCATCTATCAATGAAAAACCTGTTCATAGCTCTTAGATCACCCAAAAGCAGATTGGGTTCGCCAACTGGTCTGACAGCCCTGGCAGGGCTGTTAGTGTTCACATGCTGCTTTTCTCTAATCTATGAAGACAACACATTGTTGCCCCGTGAATGAGACATGACCACTCCCTCTCTGCGCAGCATCCTGTTCATTTCTTACCAGTACCAGCTGCATTGGCCTGTTACTGTATACTGTCTGGGTTGGCATTGGACTGTTAGTTCTTTAAGGAATAGACAGTGGGACATTTTATGGTACTGTTCCTTACTGTTGGGAATCTTCCTGGTCTTTATCAATACCTTTTCTTGCCTTAGAAAGTAAATTCCAGTTTATTTCCATTCCTTGTCTGAGAACAAGCCAGCCCTGGGTACCTATTCCTGCTCCCCATCCAGGGAGAGCCTGCCGTAACATGAAGCGTGCAGTAGATGCCGTGGAATGGCTGTGTGGCAGCTGGCCTGCTCCTTCTCTCGTCCGGATGGGCCTTCAGACACTGTAGCTGAAGGGGTGTTGGGCGTTGGTGAGTTCAGGCTTCAGCGGACTCAGTGCTGCCCAGGACTGAGCCTGAGGGTCCCTCCGACGCAGCCGCCGCCACCCCAACAGAAAGGTCTACTTACATGTGTTATGCTTACAAATTGTCTCTTACAGTTTGTCTTCCAGAGAAAAATCTAGTTCTCTGAAACATTTTGGCTTATTTACAGATTGGTCAAAGAAAAAATGATGTATGAGAAGGAAGCAAAACAGCAAGAAGAAAAGATTGAAAAAATGAAAGCTGAAGATGGTGAAAATTATGCCATTAAGAAGCAGGTAAAAATTGTACCTTAAACAATACTAGCTAGTCTTTATGGAATAACATTAATTAATGCTGTCTTTACCACAGCCCTCTGACAAGCCACTGTTATTTGCTTCTTTACATTTATAATAAAAAATAAAGGAAAAGAAACGATGGATCAAGAGACTGCCCAGGGCCTGGCGTGATAGTGCAGTGGTTAAAGTCCTCGCCTTGCACGCCTGGGATCCCATATGGCCGCTGGTTCTAATCCCGGCAGCCCTGCTTCCCATCCAGCTCCCTGCCTATGGCCTGGGAAAGCAGTCGAGGATGGCCCAAAGCCTTGGGACCCTGCACCTGCATGGGAGACCCAGAGGAAGCTCCTGGCTCCTGGCTTGGGATTGGCTCAGATTCAGCCATTGCGGCCACTTGGAGAGTGAATCATCGGACGGAAGATCTTCCTCTCTGTCTCTCCTCCTCTATATATCCATCTTTCCAATAAAAAAAATAAATCTTTTAAAAAAAGAGAGAGAGAGTGCCCGAAGCCGCCCCGTTGCTGAGTAGGGTGGCTCATGTCTGGACATGGGCCTTCTCACTGCAGAGACCACCCCAGCCACTGAGCTCTGGTGCCTCTCGTGAGCTCAGCTTTATGTTAAATTGATTTATACTTTGAAATTCATAGATAGATTCTCGAAGCTGTTATGTAGATAACCATAGTGAAACTGAAACTCTATTTCTCATTGGCTGCTGAGAATCTTCTTACCTCTGCGTAGATCTGCCTGATTCAGGCGTCTTTCCCCGGCCTCCACTTGCCCTGCTCTCAGCTCTGAGCACGCATGTCTCCTGGGTCTGTGCTTGTGTGGGATGCTCCTCCCATGTCTGCTGTCAACCCTGTCTCCTCTTCCCACACCTGCCTGTCTTCTGAGCTCCACGTACCTCGATCAGGGTGCCAGCACCACTGCTTTGTTCCTGCGACAGCATTTCTGGAACGCTCACTCTCTGCTGACACACATGTCAGTATTGCTTGGGAACGTAGAGGCTGCTGGGAAATCCCTTTGTGTTCTCACGTGGCCTTCCGTTAGGGGTCCCGGGTCTCGTTCTAACTGTTGCTTGCGTGTCGTCACTCCTTTGTGCTCATCCTACACTAACAGGAGACCGCACGTAGCCACTCAGCTGAAATGTTATCTTACACTGATGTCTTTAATGGAACGGCCTCCCGGCTCTACTGCTGGACCACCATTACCTTCCCCTCACCTTTGCTGGACTGTTCCTTTCACTCTTTCACTGGGCATTCTTATAACTATGCTGTTGCCATCCCTCAATACCATCTTTGTGTACACTCATTTGTTCTCTTAGAAGATATTGGAGCCTAGTGCATACCAATCAGATTACAGGTACTCTCTCAGGCATCACACAGGCGCACAGGCGTACACACTGTCACACACACAGGACCCAGCTCCTGGCTTCTGGACACTCAGACTCGGCTTGGCCATACCTGGCCTCATTCACGGGGGACCTGCTTGAGATCCTTTGTGGTGGCTGAAATAAGTTCTGGTCTTCTCCAGCACAGCGTTTCTCCCCTAAGAAGATGTGTTTCTCTGGCAGTAAGTGGCCTCTGCTCTTCCTTATAGGGTCTCATCTTCACGCATGAGTCTCTCTGCCAACCACGTCTGGTACCCCAAGTTCCATTCCTCATTCTTTCTCCTCCTAGAATTTCCCTACCTTCCTGGATGGGAAGCGGGGCTGCCCATATGGGATGCTGGCATGTGCAAGGCGAGGACTTTAACCACTAGACTACTGCACCAGGCCCTCAAATCATTTTTTTCAGACAAGTTTATGAATCCTCAGTGTTTCTTATCATGTAAATTTTATTACAGAAGTTAATTCACAGACTTGGTGGAACAGCCTAGTGGCTAAATCCTTGCCTTTCATGCTCTAGATCCCATATGGGCGCTGGTTCTAATCCCAGCTACTCCACTTCCCATCCAGCTCCCTGCTTGTGGCCTGGGAAAGCAGTTGAGGATGGCCCAAAGCCTTGGGACCCTGAACCCGCTTGGGAGACCTGGAGGAAGCTCCTGGCTTTGGATTGGCTCAGGTTCAGCTGTTGTGGTCATTTAGTGAACCAACGGCAAGAGATCTTTCTCTTTTTCTCTCCTCTCTAAATCTGTCTTTCTACCTTTCTAATAAAAAGAAACAATTTTTTTTTAAAAAAAAAGTTATTGCACACTAAAAATTGGACTTAATTCAGCAGGCTCAGTAACTTGAAGTGGATTTTTCTCTGTAGGCGGTTACTGTCTGCAGTGGTACCTGAAAGCCTTCTCCCCTGGGCCTCTGGGGCCTGAACCTTCTCATGCCCAGTGCCTGCCTCCCTCACACGGGCGCGGCACTTCTGTGCTAAGGGTGTCTGTGGGGAGGGCTAGTGAACACGTGTGCAGCGACGGGGTGTTCCAGCTGGCCTGGCCTTTGTGGGGATTTGCTTCTGGGATGCAACTTCCGATCCCTGAAGCTTTGCTTGTTTTCACACCTTAGTCTCCTGCTGTTCTCCCACATGTGGTGGGAAATGCCAGGACAGCACGTGAAACTAGGCCAGTGGTAGGTGGCCGGAGCCCGAGGGCATGTCCAGCACCGACTGCTTCTGAAAGAGCTCCGGCTGCCACTAGGCGTGCAAGAAGAAATGTGCTGCTTCTCAGAATCACATTCCACAAATAGTGTCTTAATACCTTTGCATTTTTATTGTCCTTTAGTAACAGTAACAATTAACTATCAAATCCTGTGTTTTGTTTCTTATTTTAAAATACTGACTACGTACGGGTTACATTTTGCAGATGCAAAGGGAATAAATTCTGTTCTTTCCATATTCCTCAGGTTAAATTTCTGACATGATTTGTTAGATTGCTAGTCGCCCTGAAGCTGGTCGCGACATGTTGGGGGAAAGTCCTGAACACGAGCTGGCGGTGAATGAGGCAGAGGGGCCAGCAAACCGGTCAGCTGAGGGCTCTCAGTGCTCTTTGCTGGGTGTGCCGCTTCGCCTAGGCTCACAGCCTGCTCCAGCTGGGCTCTGCTCTGCCTCTGTCTCCCTCTGCCAGTCCCTGTTGGGAACTCAGTAGTGGAAGGTATGCCCACGGTTGTGAAGGGGTTCCATTTTTTTGTCCTATCCTGAAACAGACATGATTGGAAGTAGTAAAATATTTCTGTTGGGCCCAGCATGGTAGCCTAGTGGCTAAAGTCCTTGCCTTGCACATGCCTGGTTTGTGTCCTGGTGGCCCTGCTTCCCATCGTGGGAAGTGGCCTGGAAAAGCAGTTGAGGACGGCCCAAGGCCTTGGAACCCTGAACGCGCGTGGGAGACTTGGTAGAAGCTTCCGGCTCCTGGCTTCAGATTGGTGCAGCTCCAGCCATTGCAGCTGCTTGGGGAGTGAACCACAGGAAGGAAGATCTTCCTCTCTGTGTCTCCTCCCTGTTAGTCTGACTTTCCAATGATAAATAAATCTTTAAAAGAAAAAAAATACTATATGTGGATTTCATAACTTTTTCTGCCAAAATAAACTCGTGATCATTTTTAAAATGCTTGAATGAAATCTAGTTTGAGGCCAGTATTAGCTTGAATCAGACCACCACAAATTAGTGACTACTGAAAGAGCAAGCCTCAGCTATTTAGAGAAGCTAAGCTGGGAAACAGATGAGATCTTGGAGGCTTCAGAAAAGTTTTCGGGGAAAATTCCCCCAGAGAAGTCAGCAGTTTACAGATGCGGAGCTTGTTTTAAAAAGGAATGAAAGGGCCCAGTGCAGTAGCCTGGTGGCTAAAGTCCTTGCCTTGCATGTGCTGGGATCCCATATGGGCACCGGTTCTAATCCCAGCAGCCCCACTTCCCATCCAGCTCCCTGCTTGTGGCCTGGGAAAGCAGTCGAGGACGGCCCAAAGCCTTGGACCCCTGCGCCCGTGTGGGAGACCCAGAGGAGACTTCAGGCTTCGGATTGGCATAGCATCGGCCGTTGCGCTTACTTGGGGACTGAATCAGTGGACAGAAGATCTTCCTCTCTGTCTCTCCTTCTCTCTCTGCTTCTGAGTGTCCAGTAAAAATAAGTAAAATATTCTTTAAAAAATAATAAATCAGTAAAAAGATAGCCATTTTTTGTTAGCTATATTGAAATGGCTACATTGACATGATTAATTTCCTTGGACTCTCAGTTTTCAGGGTACGGACTAAATAGTTGTTCCAAAGTGTCTTGGTATAGTTAAGTTTTTTTAATATATATATCTTTTTAAAGATTTATTTTATTTTTATTGGAAAGTCAGATATATAGAGAGGAGGAGAGACAGAGAGGAAGATCTTGATCTGATGATTCACTCCCCAAGTGAGCACAACAGCTGGAACTACACCAATCTGAAGCAGGAGCCGGGGGCTTCTGCCAAGTCTCCCACGTGGGTGCAGGGTCCCAAGGCCTTGGCCGTCCTCAACTGCTTTCCCAGGCCACAAGCGGGGAACTAGGTGAGAAGCGGGACTGCGGGGATTAGACCCGGCACCCATATGGGATCCTGGTGCATGCCAGGTGAGGACTTTAGCCACTAGGCTGCCACACCAGGCCCTTGCTTTTATCTTAGTTGTGTGTTCCCCATGGACCTTCTGCAGTTTCCTCAGGGACTGTTACAGCCGTGGCCGTAGCCAACTCCAAGGAATGATCTGCACAGTGAGAAAATAGCAACTCGCTCCTGACTCAGCTGTCGCCAGAGAAGTTGGCGTTGACAAAGGTGCTTCACAGAGCTCTTCTTTCTTAAAAATGGGCAAATAACATCTGTTATATAACTTTAATTAGAAAAGAAATTGGTCAGACTTTAGTTTAGCACCTGATTCATCTTGCTAAGGCTTCCCAAGTTCCATTTTGGCTGAGTGAGTGCAAGCACGTGACCTGCTCCCTGCAGCCCCGTGCACCTCCCAGCTCATGCCACGATGCCGATTTAACTGCAGGCTTGTAGTCAGCATTAGGAAACGTTTTCCAGGTATTTTAAACAAGCACCAAATGGAGCACTCTGAAAGGTAATACTCTGTGGGGAAGTTCAGAGTTGGATGGGGCAAGGGGGTTGTGTCTTTACTGTGTAATCACAGTGCTACTCCCTGTTAACATCATTTCTGAAGTTGTATTGTGATGAGGTAGATTGTGGCTTCCAGCCTGGGTGGAGATGTGCTTCGGGGATTCCCAGCAGAATCACTGCACCGCCCCTTGGCTCTCTGTGGCACACCCTGTGGAAGCAGCACTGTGCCAGGATGTCCACTGAGCTGGCAGCCAGAGCCCTCCTTCTCATCCTGGCACTCCTGTCTGTCGTCCAGCAGCCAGGGGTCCCACGACAGTCTCTGGGCTGCGGGAGCTCAGGGCCTTCGTATGGTGGTGTAGTGTCTGCATGTCATCAAGGCGCCTCCTGTGTGCCACGGCACAGCATCAGATGCCCTCCAGGACTCAGTGCGGTGAAGGGGCTGTTTGTTACACTTTTACAACTTTCTTTTCTCTTTCGAACACAGGAATATTAACAGAATGAATGAATGGCAGTGGTGTGTGGGAGCTTTGGCCACACTTAAGTCCGTGTCCTGTCTGAAGCTAATAAATATAATAATAATGACTGGAAGTTATTTTAGGCAGCATTATTTAAAGTTGATTTTAGACAACACTAAAGCTTTGAAAGAATGTTATAAATATACATTCTGACTTACCGTGTGTTTGACCAAATTCTTTTAATTAATTTCGTCGTCTTTAATTCCTGTAAGCTATTCTGCATGGAATTCCACAGACTTAGGACATATCCCTGTCAGACTAACCAGATATGCAAAAACAATTTAATGGCTGTGATTAAATGTCTAGGCTCTGAAATAAAGGCATGGTCCTGGAGTTTTCCAGCAATGGATTATTAGTTTTTTAAAAAAAGGTCATAAGTTGAATGGTACACTTGCACCTGAGGAGCTGGCTGTGACTGGAGACCTGAGCTGTGTTTAAGTCTTTACTAAAATACACATTATAGTGGAAGTGTAGTTTTTCTTTGTTTCCTATGAACTAGGTAATAAGTCTAAATAAAATTGCAGATTCTATATCCATTTCTCCAAAGATATCTGACCATTCTTTTTAAAAAATAATAATAGGTCTTAGATGACCTCTGTGTGTGTCATTCTGAAAATAATTGAAGGGAATGTAGCTTCTTTCTACCTTTAGAAAAAGTCTTATTTCAGATCCAACATCTAATACTAACTTATTATTTCATTGATTGATTGCATTTCCCAGTTATTGATTTTATTTTCTCCCTCTTTTGTGATGTGATATGTTGCCGTTTGACTTTTAATAGTAGACTTTAGGGCCCAACACGGTAGCCTAGTGGCTAAAGATCTTGCCTCGCATATGCTGGGATTCCATTTGGGAACCAATTTGTGTCCCAGCTGCCCCGCTTCCCATCCAGCTCCCTGCTTATGGCCTGGGAAAGCAGTCAAGGACAGCCCAAAGCCTTGGGACCCTGCACCCACGTGTGAGACCTGGAGAAACTCCTGGCTCTGGCTTTGGATGGGCTCAGCTCCAGCCATGGCAGGCACTTGGGGAGTGAATCAATGGACAGCAGATCTTCCTCTCTGTCCCTCCTCCTCTCGGTATATCTATCTTTCCAGTAAAAATAAATAAATGATTAAAAAAATAGTAAGCTTACATTGAAAAATATCTTGTAGACTCAGTGTTGTGCGGTGTCTTGAGGCGCGTTCCCGTGCAGAGGAGCGCCCCTGGGGCATTTAGCTCCAACTGCACGGGGAAAAGAATCTCTGCTAAAATGAAGCACAGGAGAAGTAATAACTTTTTATGCATGATAAGCATCAAAAACATAAACCTGCTGGTCTTTGCTTTTCATTTTTCTTTGCCTCTGTCTTCACCGGGAACCTCCTGCAGTGTGCACACGATGTGATCAATAACTCAATAACTTTTTTCATGCAGTAATTATCTCCATGTGACATGATCTGAACACTGCTTTTCTTTATTACTCGAAAGATGCAGGAGATATTTGTATAACCAGCTGATCCCATTTTGGACAAAGGTGCTTTGTGACAGCAGGAGAACGGCTTGTTTTTAATAGCCTTGCTAGATAAATGCTGTAAGAAGAGCTTTTCCAGTTAATTTTCACTTACCATGAGAGGGTGATTACGGAAACAAAACAAAATCTTCAATGCAAGTCCTGAAAGTTGTCCTTTGTGGATTTTGCAGCATTACGGTACAGTCTTTCAACTGTAACGAACATAGTTTGAACTGCTTGCTCTAAGCTGCCCCTCCGGGGCTGAGGGTGCTGCATGTGTGTCTCACTGCGGGATTCTCGTTGCAGGCTGAGATCCTGCAGGAGTCGCGTATGATGATCCCTGACTGCCAGCGCAGGCTGGAGGCCGCCTACGCCGACCTGCAGCAGGTCCTGGTGAGTGGGCGCTGGGGGCGCTGGGGGCGCTGCGGGCGCTGCGGGCGCTGCGGGCTCTGGGTCCTTGGAGTGACGCCTCCAGTAGTACTGTTTTCTAGCATGTTTATTTGACGTTAGCTGATGAAATATATTTGAGTTAGGAATCATAATACCAGAATTATATTATATTGTTTTGCATTGTGTTGTATAGGAGTTATACTAGCAAAATTGTATTGAATGATTTCGTTTCCATACCTAGAGATCTTTCTTGGCGCATTAAGGTAAGTTATTTATTTTATTTTATATGTTTAAAAATCCAGTCTTTCAGGTGGATTTTCTCTTGTTAAAAGATCTAGAATTCTTCCATATTCATACCTAAATCTGAGAGGGGAAAAAAACACGGTCTTAATACAGGGAGTACCCTGCTGCCCTCGCGTTGCCTTAGAACTAGATAGCACTGCCCTCCCTAATGGAACTGGAGTCACTGCCCTCCTGCTCCCTGATGGAATCCAGAAGCTGAGCCATCTTATAAATAATCCTGAGAAGCCAGAAGTCCTTTTGGTCATAGAGGTGAGGGTGCCATGCCATGCCCAAGCTGTCCGTGTTGCTCCTCGCTGACCCCGACATTCCTTTCCTTGAGCTCTTGGTTCATAGTTGCTCCCCTGCAAAGCTTTTCACCATAACCATGGATATTTCTTCAAGAGAGCAAAATTTGTTTCCTACCTATTAGGATTAAACCTACATTTTTAAAAAGGATTCCATTCATATATTATTGTAATTTTTTACATGAAACTCCATCTATATTTTTTTCCTTTCTTTTTAAAAAATATTTATTTGTTTTTGTTGGAAAATCAGATATACAGAAAAGAGAGACAAAGATCTTCCATGCACTGAATCAGTCCCCAAGCGGCCTCAACAGCTGGAGCTGAGCTGATCAAAATCAGCAGCCAGGAGCTTCTTCCGGGTCCCCCATGTGGGTACAGGGTCCCAAGGCTTTGGGCCGTCCTCAGCTGCTTTCCCAGGCCGCAAGCAGGGAGCTGGAGGGGAAGCAGGGCTGCCAGGACACAAACTGGCACCCATATGAGATCCCAGCACATGCAAGGCACAAACCTTTGCCACCAGGCTACTGCACCAGGGCCCTATAAAAAGCTTTTAAAGACAGGATTTTATTTACTTAAAAGGCTGACTGGTAGGGAGAGAAGCAGCTCTTCCTTCTGCTGGTTCACTCCCCAAATGGCTCCTGCAGCTTTGTGTTGCCAAGACAGAAGACAGGAGCCAGGAGTTCCATTCTGGCTTCCCACAGCAGTGCGGGGCCCAAGGCTTGGGCCATGACATGCCTTGCTAGACCTGTGAGCAGGGGTTGGATCCAGAGCAAAGCAACTTGAGCCAGCCTTCTGCTACAGTGTGGCCCACAGTAACTTCTTCGGCAGCCAAGAAACAAGTTTCGACTTTGACAGAAGATAGAATAAGCAAGAAGTAACTCTTTTGTTTAAATACTGCCTAAGGCAGGAGTTCCATTTCTGCCTCCTGAATTTCTAATGCTTTTTTTCTTGTGAAACAAACTAGAAACTGAAAAAGAGTAAAAACTACTTGAAATAAATATCTTGGGAGGATACACTTTATGGTGAGGATGAATCTAACAGTATCATCTAAGAGTTCAGAGAGAACAGACACAGTGATGTGAAGATTAGAGTTCTTACTTAGTGCTGGAGCTGAGCTACTGTGTGCTTGCTGAACACATCCAGGCTTTATTCCGCCTGCCCTGGTAGTAGCAGCTTCGCCTCTTTACCAGCTTTGCGTACACGACTCTGAATTGCAGAAATGAAAGGTGCTGGTATGCCTGTGCTGTAGGGATGTGCTGCCCGCCAACAAGCACGTCATTTGCCTCATCCTTGGTGTCACTGCTTGTCACAGCACAGCCCCGTGGCAGGAGCCCTTCGAGGGCCGTATGAGCTGACGGTGGTCATGTGTAGGATGCCAGCGAATGCTGTGACTTGCTCCGGGTTTAGTAGATCACCCTGCTGTGTGATTCCTTGTGGGCGAGGGGGACAGTCTGCCTCAGCTCTTTCTGAGGATTCTGTTCATTGCTGGCGTCAGTCCCTCGTGGGAGTGCATGTGCAACTCAGCAGCCTCATGCTTCTTCCCTGACTGTGGAGATGCTAGCATCCACTGAGTTTTATTTTTTTAAAAAAGATTTATTTTATTTTTATTAGAAAGTCAGATATACAGAGAGGAGGAGAGACAAAGAGAAAGATCTTTCTCCCGTTGATTCATTCCACAAGCGGCCACAACAGCCGGAGCTGCACTGATCCGAAGCCAGAGCCTGTTCTGGGTCCCCCATGCAGGTGCAGGGTCCCAAGGCTTTGGGCTGTCCTCAACTGCTTTCCCAGGCCACAAGTAGGGAGCTGGATGGGAAGTGGAGCCCCCGGGATTAGATCCGGCACCCATATGGGATCCCAGTACATGCAAAGCCATGCTAGGCTACTATACTGGACCCTGAATTTTATTTCTGAATTACTTGTTTAACATTTGAGTGAGTCACAATACTAATATTTGGGAAGGATAAACTTAATGTTCATTGTATGTCATTGCAGGAAAGTGAAAAAGACTTGGAAGAAGCTGAAGAGTATAAGGAAGCACGTGTGGTCCTGGACTCGGTGAAGCTGGAAGCCTAGCCTGGCCTGGGCAGCGTGCTCTCTGCTTCAGTCCTGGGGTCCACTCAACTCTCCCTTCCTTCCGACCTCTGCTCTGTGTCCAGGAGTCGCAGAATGGGATTCTTTTTATGCAGTTGCATATATTTTTCTTTGCCTAATTTAATGCATCAAATAAATAAGCTCATCTAATAAGCTTGCTTATTTCCTTTTTATAAATATTTTAAGTAAGGTTTTATCAGTCACATAGATAGTTATGGCCAAAAAAAACCTGTTAGGTCCTCTTTGAAGTCTAGCTGTTTTCTTTCACAAATCTGAATTGAGTTAAAGCAAAACACTGCTGTCTTTGTAAAATAAAAATTAAACTGTAAGCAGTTTATGCTAAATAATGTACAGCGTACGACTCTAAGAACTTCTCAGATAAAGCCTTCTAGTAGAGGTCTAACATTTCCTTTTTATTTTATTTTTTTAAGACTCATTTTAATTTTTATTAGAAAGGACATCAGATTCACAGAGAGAAGGAGAGTCAGAAAGATCCTTCATCTGCAATGGCCAGAGCTGAGGGGAGCTGAAGCCAGGAGCCAGGGGCCTCCTCTGGGTCTCCCACACAGGTGCAGGGTTCCAGGGACTTGGGCCCTCCTCCTCTGCCATCCTAGGGCACAAGCAGGGAGCTGGATGGGAAGTGGAGCTGCTGGGATGTGAACCGGCATTAAGCTACTGAGTTGGGCTCTAACATTCCCTTTTTATAAACCAATAAAAAATATAAAACATTCAAATCTTTTCTTTTTTTTTGTCTCTGAACTGTTTTATTTCTCCCGATTTGGGAGCGGAGGGTGGAGAGTGGGCAAGGAACACCCTGATAAATGGTGCAGGGCAGCGGCAAAGCTAGGGTGGCCCTCAGGCGAAGGCAGAGCCGTTCCAGCCCACGTTGGCCGCACTGCTGTTGTAGTAGTTGATATGGATCCTGTCCGGGCTGACCCGCAGGCGCTTGGCCAGCAGGCCGCAAAGCAGCTCGCTGTGGGTGCGGTTCTGCGCGTGCCTGTTTGCCCACGCTGTGGACTGCAGAGCCCACGCAGCTCACGGGAGCCGCCGAGCACCAAGAGCTGGTCCAGGACCACGTGCACTGTGATGCTTGCGCCGGCCTGCACGTGGCCTGCGCGTGGCCTGCCCGTGCCCTGCGCGTGGCCTGCCTGTGCCCTGCGCATGGCCTGCCCATGCCCTGCCCGTGGCCTGCGTGTGCCCTGCCTATGGCGTGCCCGTGGCCTACCCATGCCCTGCCCGTGGCCTGTGCCAGCTGCTGGGGCAGCTGGGACAGGAGCCCATCCGGCACTGAGGCATTGGGGGTGCGTTGGTGTTTACGGCGAACATTGCATGTTGGCCCTTGCGCTGTGGGGCTGCAGTGACGAATTTCAAATCATTTTTTGAAAAGTCAGATTTACACAGAAAAAATAAATCTTCAAATAATGTTGATATGAACTATGAGGGTGAATTGTGCTTTAAAGGAATAATGGCTGTTTTAGTGACGTGCCCAGGACTCATCAGTTTTTCATAACCTAGAACATGGTACTTTTAACATTTTAAGGTAGAGAAAGTAAAAAGTTAAAATGAAAACTATAATTACAGTATAAAATTTGATAGTAAGGCTTGGTATTGTAGTACAATCAGATTGAAACTGTAGATCATGTTACAATTGGCGTCAAGCACCGGGACAGTAGGCTAGTTCTGTGTGGGTGGGTGGATTTCTGAGTAGTGGGAGAGAGTCTTTGCAGATAGGATTTTATTGAAAGCATTTTATGGAGTGGAAGTTTGGCAGAGCAAATAAGGCTCCCCTGAGACACCCTAAGGATATCCTGTGCCTAACTCCAGTCCCAACTGCAGGGTTTCCTGCTGGTATCAGCACTTATGGCTCAGGTGTTTGGGTCTCAGCACCTCCAGGCTGGTGACTGTTGGAGGTCCTGGCTCTGCGGTGGGCAAGGGTAGTAAAACAACTTTCAAATAAAATGAGGGAAAAAAAAAATACAAGGAAAGAAGCCAGTGCAATGACTCAATTGGCTAATCTTCTGTCTGCAAGTACCAGTATCCCATACTGCATGTGGGCACCAGTTCATGTCCCGGCTGCTCCATTTCCCATCCAGTTCCCTGCTTGTGGCCTGGGAAAGCAGTCGAGGACGCCCAAAGCCTTGGAACCCTGCACCCATGTGGGAGACCTGGAAGAGGCTCCTGGCTCCTGGTTTCATTGGGGTTTTTTGTGCTCATTGAGACAGAGAATAGCTGTAATGGACTCTGAATTAAGCTAAGTTTTTGTTTCAGACTTCCCATCTGTGTGGCTGCGTAGAATTTGCCAGAAGTAACGTTTCCTTTTTCCTGCCCTGGTGCCTGTCCCCTAGCCAGCGTTTCCTAGCTGCTCAGTACGCCCTTATAGACTGACCAGAAGGTAAGAAGGTCTCTGGGAGTGAGGGAAGACACCAAGAAGGGTCCCATTACCACAGAGCCCGAGAAATGCCCGCTGCACTGCCACTCGGTGCCAGAGGTAGGACATAGAAATAAGCACCTCTCACTGTGCGCCCTCCCCTCCTGTTCGGCCTCCAGCTATCGGGCTGTGGACCCAGCCCAGCACGCTAATGTACAAGTGCTCTTTTCATGCAAACTGCACGTGTATATATGTACCCCCTTCTCAGCGTCAGGCCTTGTGTCTCAGTGACCCAGGGTCACAGTGTGTGTCCCCAGTCCTCACAAGGAAGGCCGTTGGTAACAAACAAGCCTGTGACTTAGCCGCATGGATCGAGTAATAGATGAGACCACATCCAGGCTGGTAGCGATGCAGGTGGCGATGTTGCTGGCAGCACACCCGAGACCTCGTGTCTTCACCCCTCGTCCTCTCTCGGTGCTCCTGGACAGGGCTGCATGTCCATGTGAGTGTTAGCACCCCAAGCCTGTATCATCCCCCTCTACCTACTTTGTGCCACGTGCCAGCATACATCACGTAAACACTTCTGTGGGCAGGGAGGGAGCACGCCGCCGACATAAGGAAAGCAGGCGGGTTAATGCGCTGTAATGTCCGTTTAACATCTGCCAGTTTCCTGGAGAGTGGCATTCAGTGCCTGATGCCCTGAAGCCGCCTTCACGCCCATGCCTGCACACGGAATCGCTGCCAAATTGAGCAGTCAGGCCTGTTTAATCCGAGTCGGTTTGCAAACTTCATTACATTACTTGGCTTCTTTAATAAGGACATATCCTGCAGCTGGTTATCACTTAGGCCTTATTATTTGGTGATTTAGATAAACCAAGGACAGGTTAATCCTTTATTTGATGATGGGTGTAAGCTGACACAGTGAGAGCAAGAGCTGCGAAGTGCTTGGCATTGAAGGGTTAATCAGGTCACTCAGTGCTTGGGCCGGCTTGCCGTGCTTTAGCTGGAAGGAAATTGAGTGGTTTCGAATGGTACACTGTGAAACGAGATCTAAGAATTTGTTCCTGTACTTGAATTTTAAGAGTACTCCATAAAATCTGCATTGTGCTCCAACATGCACCTTACTGTGTGCTGGACCGTGTTGACGGAGAGCTGCCCCTTCCCTCTGTCCTGTTCCTGCTTTCTAGGCTGCTGGGGAAGGTCCTGGGGACAGCATTTTCAGTGTACCACAGAGCTGTTTGAAGTTGGAAAAGCTCTCCCATGTGAAAAGTTGTCAAATGATGGAAACAGGTCCTTTGCAGCAGCAATGAGACTTAAATTTAAAACAACAAAAAATGTAACCATGATAAAGACGTGTTGGTTAGGAATGAGATTAGATCACAGAATGAAATCAGGGGACTGATAGAAGAGGCATGTGCATAGAATGAGCTGAGAAGAGCACTAGGCATCCTGGGACACCAGAGAGAGGTTGGAACCTGGGCCCTCTGCAACAGGGTGCTTCAGCAGCTTTGCTCCACCCAGTAGGGCAGGTCTGTCCTGAACATCCCATGGCACGCAGCCTTCAGCAGGCACTAGAGACAGGAGTGAAGAATTCACACGCTCCAAGATGAAACGGGCAGTCCACAGTGCCAGCGTGTGGCTAGCCCTGGGTCACCAGTAGGCTGACAGGTCTGAGATGCTGTGACAAGGCAGGCATAGCTAAGGGGCTGGTTCTGCTCAGCTCTAACACGTGGTTACAGGCATTCAGTGTGGCAGAAGAGTGGAAAGTGCACATGTGTGGGTGTGAGGCGTGTGCAGGTAGGTGTACATGGATGCGTGTCGGTGTATAGGCAGGTGTTTGTAGATGGGTGTGAGGGTACGTGTGTAGATAGGGGTGTGTACTGTGTGTCGATGGGCATGGGGGTACATGTGCATAGATGGGGTGTGTGTAGTGTGTACATAGGGCTGTGTGGGTACATGTGCATAAATGTACTCAAAATGTGTGGCTGTAGATGTGTGGATATGTGTAGGAGTTCATGGCAGAGGCAGATCTACAGAGAGGAGAGACAGAGAGGTCCTCCACCCACTGGTTCACTCCCAAATTCTACAATAGCTGGAGCTGAGCTGATTTGAAGCCAGGAGCCAGAAGCTTCTTCCAGGTCTCCCAGGTGGGTGCAACTGCCCAGACTTTGGCCTTCTGCTGCTGCTTTCCTCGCTGTGTTAGCTGAGAGCTGGACCGGAGGTTGCACAGCCAGGTCTCAAGGTCACGTGGGACTCTGGCGTAGTGGGTGGCAGCTTAGCCCTCCCTCCTGTAGAGTAACTCTCAAGGTTGCATAGCATTGATTCCTTACAGTGTATTGGTTGTTCTCGATTGATCACATCTTGGTCTCCACTTCACAATAGCTGGCCAAGTTTTTATGTGGTTGTATTGAGTCTGTGTGTCAAATTGGGGAAAGCTGCATCTGGACATTCTGGTGTACCCGTGAACTTGGACTGTCACTCCGTTCACTGTGGTGTTTTTTGAGGTGTTGTGTATACTTTATTAGTCCTATGCCCGATTTTCACTTGGGTGCTGCTGAAGTGATGCTGTGTTCCGCCCGTTCCCTGCTGGTAGATGGGGGAACCATAGGCTTGTGTTCTGCAGGCTCTGCTCACTCACAGTGCCAGGGCGTCTGGTTGTGGATGGTCATGCCATCTCTAGGAGGAAGGGACAGTTTGTTTCTTCCTCTCCGTCCTGTGATTGCTGAGTCTCCTTTTGCATCTGGCTGCAGCTGTGACTGCGGTACCTCAGCAGTGGC